TAGGGTTTAGGGTTTAGGGATCAGGGATTAAGGGATTTAGGGTCTAGGGTTTAGGGTTTAGGGCTGACGTTTAGGGTCAGGAGCGTGAACTGGAGGGATGCCCTTGTACCCATCAAGACTGGCCAGCGGAAATCCAACGACCGAGCGGGAGTTCAGGGAATCCAAGCCCTAAAAGCCGCAAAAAAGAACGCTTTGAGCACAAAGCTCTGATGCTGTGATGGGGGATGCTGCCCTAAACCCTAACCCCAAACCCGACTCCCGAAACCCGAAACCCGAAACCCCAAACCCCAAACCCTAAACCCTAAACCCTAAATCCTAAACCCTAAACCCTAAACCCTAAACCCTAAACCCTACACAAACTTCTGAGGGCCCCAGCTCCCTGAGCATGTCCCAAAAGTCGCGCCAAGTGCCGGGAAAGGGAAGCCGGGGATGTGATCCGGCATCCCAACCCCGGAAGCGGTTGCTGCTTGCGGCCTGTGGTGCTGGGTTTAGGGTTTAGGGTTTAGGGTTTAGGGTTTAGGGTTTGGGGTTTAGGGTTTGGGGTTTAGGGTTTGGGGTTTAGGGTTTGGGGTTTGGGGTTTAGGGTTTAGGGTTTAGGGTTAGGGTTTAGGGTTTAGGGTTTAGGGTTTAGGGTTTAGGGTTTAGGGTTTAGGGTTTAGGGTTTAGGGTTTAGGGTTTAGGGTTTAGGGTTTAGGGTTTAGGGTTTAGGGTTTAGGGTTTTTAGGGTTTAGGGTTTACGGTTTGGGGTTCAGGGTTTAGGGTTTAGGGTTTGGGGTTTAGGGTTTGGGGTTTATAGGGTTTGGGGTTTGGGATTTGGGGTTTATAGGGTTTAGGGCGGCAGGGGAACTGAGCTCAACGAGTTGGTGGGATCCGGAACCCATGACATGAAAGTCCTCACAGCTTCCTTCAAGCTCTTTCCTGGGGGTTGTGTGGCTGTTGCGTCCTCAAACTGGGGGCGGTCCATTATTATTACTATGATTATTAGTACTATTATTATTTGGTGGGGGGGTCCAAATAATAATGGTTAAATGGTTTCCCTTTCCATTATTATTATTATTATTATTATTTGGGTGGCTGGAAATAATGCCGGGGGGTCTCCATTATTTCTTCGCGTGCCCCCTGAATTCTTTACACGCTAGTGTAAACCCAGAACCCTGTAATCTTGAACCCTCAGCACACTAAACCCCAAATCCTGCACGCCCAAACCCCAAACCCTATAAGGGGAACTTCCAGAATCTGCAGCTTCCTAAACATCGCTCCCCCTTCGGGGGGGGTTCAAGGCTTTAGGGGCTTAGCTTCTTTAGGGTTTAGGGTTTAGGGATTACTATAGGGTTCAGGGCTTAGGGTGCAGCTTGGAGCATTGGAGTTTTGAGCATGGCATCCCCTAAACCTCCGCAAGAAGACCCAGAATCACGACTGAGAGTTCGACCCTTTCGTTGCTGAGACACGGTTTAGGGTTAGGGTTTAGGGTTTAGGGTTTAGGGTTTAGGGTTTAGGGTTTAGGGTTTAGGGTTTAGGGTTTAGGGTTTAGGGTTTAGGGTTTAGGGTTTAGGGTTTAGGGTTTAGGCTTTAGGGTATAGGGTTTAGGGTTTAGGGGTTAGGGGTTTAGGGTTTAGGGTTCGGAGGGGTTAGCGTGTAGGGTTTGGGGGTTTAAGGTCGAGGCATCAACTCTGCCGAGATCGAGGCGGCGGTGAAGGCGTGCACTGGGTTTGTCCTGCGAATAGCAGTCGACAGTAAACTCCGGACCTCGAAGCCGAAATCCTTGTACAATTGCCGAACCCAGAACCACACCTCAAGCACGGGACGCCCAAAAGCCTTAAGCACCCAAGCTTTTCAAGCCTTGACCTCGCACAGATTTGTCTGGAATAATCTGACAGCAAAACATGGACTTTTAGCCATAAGCCGCACGCTTCCTGTGTGGACTATATAGTTCGCACCGATCCCTGCAAAAGACACAGAGAGCGAGAGAGAGAGGAGAGAGAGTGAGAGAGAGAGAGAGAGAGAGAGAGAGAGAGAGAGAGAGAAGGGGGAGAGAGAGAGAGAGAGTGAGAGAGAGCATGATAGAGAGAGAGAGAGAGCGGGAGAGGGGGTTCACTCTGTGCTGGTGGGATCACGCCCAGGAGCTTTTCTAGGTAATTGACTATACCAAGCCTCTTGTTCAGGGCTGGTGCTTTTCTGGACCCCGCCAAAGTACCCATGAGGCCCAGCAGGGGTACAACTGAGGAGTTGGATAGGGTAAGGGTGAGGAACCCGGCGCCTCATCTCCTCCCCCAAAAAAACATCGCAGTCAACATGCCCGATGATATGGGCAGTTCCCTAAAGAGACGCTTTTTGTTGGGTGCGCCATATAGCTACCACATGCTGGGAAGACGTTTGCATTGGTTCAAGAGCGCATTGTTTGTGAAGGCAATCTTGCTGAACCCCTATTCCTGTGCCATTCAGCGTGCTGAAGTATTCTACAGACTACGCCAAATACAACGTCGAAACAAATATGCATTCAACGCAGACCCTGACTTCGTAGTGTGGCTTTAACGTGGGCGACAAACGTCCAGAACCCTCCAAAATCCTAACTCCCCTTGGTGCAGCCACTTTGAACACTTTGCAAAGCCTCGATCTGATCCGCCTGTTAAAACTGTATAGTCTAGAGATAGCCAGCCCACAGGTGATTGTTTTTGGTGGGTCTTCTGCAACCTTTCACCCTAGCTAAAGGCCTAGTTGTCTCAGCCATGGATACGCATGGGATGTCCGCAAGGATAGCATGCATAAAACCCTAACTCCCCGAAACCCTCTGGCTGGCCCGCTGTCTGTCCTCCAAGGAGTCTTGCTGGGTGACTCAGTCATTGCTGGCGGCCTCCGCAAGCGGCGGAGTCTGACGGTAGGCTCTCGCTTTTACACCCATTTAGGGTTCAATGTCCTAACGTGCATACAGAAAAATACAATAGAACTATAACAATACTGCGCGTGTTTCAGGACTATTGGTTGTGGAGGCGTTTGAGGGTAAACCCTGAACCCTAAACCCTAAACCCTAAACCCTAAACCCTAAACCCTAAACCCTAAACCCTAAACCCTAAACCCAGGGTAGAATTGGTACATGGGAGCCACAGGGTGCGTAGCTCAGGGTTCAATCTTTTGGCTTCAGCGTCTCAGCCTGTGCATTCAAGCCCTAAGCCGTCAGCGAGGAAGTCAGCGTACCCGCAGACCCAGTTAAGGTTTAGGGTTTAGGGTTTAGGGTTTAGGGTTTAGGGTTTAGGGTTTAGGGTTTAGGGTTTAGGGTTTAGGGTTTAGGGTTTAGGGTTTAGGGTTTAGGGTTTAGGGTTTAGGGTTTAGGGTTTAGGGTTTAGGGTTTAAGGTTTAGGGACCCCAGTCCAACTGTTAATCGAATCCCTCAACGGTCCAGTCCACTCTGACGCTCGTATGCTCAGGCGGTGGCAGAAGCCTGTGCAGGTCGACCTTCCAACGCTCTAGCAAAACAAGCCCCACACCCTAAACAAGCTTCGAAGCCTATCTGGGCTGGTCTGCGAAACCCTAAGCCCCTAAACACGCGCACTAAAGTCCCTTTGCTAGGTTTAGGGTATATTGGTTAGGGCTTAGGGTTTAGGGTGTTGTTACAGCAGCACCTGTTCTACGAACAGAAGTTCAAGTATGACAGGCATCTATAAGGGGACGCTTATTTGGCTTTGGGGGCTTTGCTTATATGCCATGGTAACCCTTAAAGAACCTGAGCCGCAGGGGATGGATCTCTGATTCGTTTAGGGTTTAGGTTTAGGGTTTAGGGATAAAGGGTTTAGGGTTTAGGGTTTAGGGTTTAGGGATACAGGGTTTAGGGGTCCAGATACCCAAATCACCGAATCCCTGAACCTGAACTGCCTGAACCGCCAGGAGCCCTTTTGCGAGAGTACGCTGTGTAACCTCCTTAGTTACTGAGCATTTCTTGGGTCCAGAAGGGAAGCTGGTCGAATCAAGAAGTCGGGTAAAAACTACCCATTGCGTTACCTTCCAGTTTGGTTACTCTCAATAATGTTGACTTCACATTAGTGGATCCCGCCGCAATTGTAAAATCCCGCTGCCGGAACACAATAGTGTAGCCCGCCACAATTGTAAAATCCGACCCGGGAAATCCGGGTTTTACGGGCGTGGTGCTACTACCTAATACTAAAACTAACAGTACGTCCTACCAGGATTTAGGCGAATACAATTGAGGAGGCCCTGGCCGGAGAGATTGATCAATCAAGGGGGGGGGGGGGGGGGGGTTATTAATGCGAAGTCAACATTAGGTTTTAGGGGGAGGGGCTGTCAAAACTTCTAGGGCCGTGGGTTTGGGGTCTCAGAGCAGCAAGCGCCCTTTTATGGCCGCATGCTTGACCAACCTTCTCGGCCGCCGCCTGAATGGAGTTGAAAAGAAGAGTGCGTATTTTAGGGTTCAAATGACGCATCCCAAAAAAACAGACTAGAGCTGTGCGAACAGAGAATACTGATCGCAAATGCCGCAGACTTACAACAGCGTTTGTTTGTTTTGTTCTGTGGTAGGTTCGAACCGTTTACAAGCAAACTGAGCTGTACTGAGTGCTTGTAAAAGCTCGGGCAGAAAACGGATGAAGTTCCACATGCGAAATAACCCCCAAGCCCCAAACCGCAAAACCCCACAAGAAGACGCCCCCCCCCCCCCCAAAAAAAAAAAAAAAAATGAAAAATATAATCGAAGCCCAACTCCAAATCCCCTCGCTTGCTGGCTGTGTTGTTCTAGGAGGAACAAGGGTAGACCATAAACCCTCAACTCCAAATCCCCTCTCTTGCGGGCTGTGTGTTCAGGGTGGCCTTTGGGCTTCGGGCTTCGGGCTGAAGGGGTTTGTGGCAGCCAAAGCTGCTCCTAACCTTAAAGCCTAAACCCTGAACCCTGAACCCTGAACCCTGAACCCTGAACCCTGAACCCTAAACCCTAAACCCTAAACCCGCACTCAGCAGCGGAGCTTGTTTCGACCTCCGAGCCTCCCGCCCGATCTTTAGGACTTTTGCGCAGCGGTCACCATCTCAGCAATGCCTCAGCCGGAAACTTGCTGGTTCTTAGGTTCTAGGGTTCTTCAGGGTTCAGGGTTCAGGGTTTAGGGTTTAGGGTTTAGGGTTTAGGGTTTAGGGTTTAGTTAGGGTTTAGGGTAACCCTAATTATATGGTTCTTGGGGGAGAGGGGTTCAAAGGGGGGGTATGGAACCCAAGGTTCCCTCATGCTCCCCAATACTCCCTAAGCTTCCCGAAGTTGCCCCAGGTACATGAATTAGAGGGGCTTATAAGGGAACCAAAACCCCCCCCCCCCCCCAACAAAAAAAGGAATAAGGGCCTAATCTGGGTCCTAGTATAGAAAGGAAACAGCCCACTTCTTTTAACGTTCTCGGGACTCTGGATTTTGGGAACGCCCTGCTGCATTCAGAGTCTCGGGTTTTGGGTTAGGAACCCCACGTCTTGATCCGTTTTTGGGCGTCTCTATTGAATCGCTCCCCTAAACCCTAAACCCTAAACCCTAAACCCTAAACCCTAAACCCTAAACCCTAAACCCTAAACCCTAAACCAGTCTCGCGGGTGGAAATTTGGCAAGCGCTGTTCCCGAAGTGAAGCCCATAAACCGCAAACCCTGCAAAAGAAGACCCTGAGCCTTGAACACCGGAAGCCCTTAGACCCTTACAGGTCTTTCAGTCCTCAAGGCCCTTCAAGCCCGCTCAGCCTTTCAACCCAATAAAGCCGTACTGAAGCCGTTTTAACCCCTCAAGCCCTCATACTCCATAAACCCCTTAAACCCTAAACCTTGAGCCCTTAAACCCTAAACCCTCTTAAACCCTCTTAAACCCTCTTACACCATCTTAAACCCTCGTAAACCCTCGTAAACCCTCTTAAACCCTTTTAAACCCTCTTAAACCCTCTTAAACCCCAAACACTAAACACTAAACCTGGACCAAAAAAGGCTGCCAAGCTGCGCTTGCTGCGAGTTTCAGGCTTCACCGCCTGCTTCCTCGGAGTCGGGGGGGCTTATAGGGGCTAAGCTCTTCCTAGGGGTTTAGGGTTTAGGGTTTAGGGTTTAGGGTTTAGGGTTTAGGCTTTGGGGTGCAATGACACCAAAGCCTCGTCGCCAACTCATAGACCCCGCCCAACTCACTCACAAGCCTCATAGCCTCAGCCGAAGCCCCCTAAACCAGAAACCCGAAACCCTAAACCCTAAGCCCTAAGCCCTAAGCCCTAAACCCTAAACCTAAAGAAGTACTCTGCGCCACGCCGAGATGCAACCGCTCCAGGAGGCCCCGGCGCTGGGAGGGCGCGATGCGCCGCCAGGCGTCCAGGAGTCCTTGCGAGGGAGGTTTAGGGTTTAGGGTTTAGGGTTTAGGGCTTAGGGTTTAGGGTTTAGGGTTTAGGGTTTAGGGTTTAGGGTTTAGGGTTTAGGGGTGGGCAGGGGAAGATTGCAATATTAGAGGGCTCGAGGGCTTAGGCTTTTGGGGGTTCAGGCATCGGGGCCTTCAGGTGTTTAAAGGCTTAGCACTTGAAGGTTCATGGGTCGGTATATGGTTGTGTGCCTAAACCCCCGGTTGTCGCGGCCCGCGCCCACGCCCACCTGTTACAGACCTCTGTAACGCCCGGCTTGTTACAGACCTCGGTCGCGCGCGCGTTCGTATCATGTATATTATATTATATTGCATCTATCATATATATATACATATACATATACATGCACTAAAAACGGTCCCAGCACGCAGTGGGGTAGGACAATAAGGCGTCTATTTGGGGCGCACGTTGCTTACGCAGATGTCGCAATAGACTGTGTTTGGTCTGTCGCGGGTATGTAACGCACCTGTAACGGGGTATGTCGCGCGCCGGGAAGCATGAACACAGATTTTCGGGAATTTCGGGGTTTCAGGCTTCGGGGGTGTCTCCCCCTGTTGAGGACTGAGTGGGGTTGGCCGCGACAAGCAAGACCTGGAGCCCTCACAGCTTCTTGAAATCTACGAACACTTACCCCCCGATAAACAAGACTTGGAACCACTCCACATACTCAGCCTTTAAGAGTTTAAGGGGGTTTCAAATTCAGGGATACATATGTTTGCTTCTTGAAACTTCGAACACTTACCCCCCGATAAGCAAGACTTGGAACCTGCAGACAACAACAAACAGGTCTGTCGCAAAACCCCGGCCATTGATACGTACCCTCTGAAACGGGGTATGTCGCGTGTGTGGGCCGCGGCCCTGTTACAAGCAATTAATATTGGCACGCGGCCATATCTTGAATCAAGGTTTTCATACAGATTAGTTACAGTACCTTACTTCTCTAACCCTACTTTGAACTAGCCATAAACCCTAAACCCTAAACCCTAAACCCTGAACCCTAAACCCTAAAATCTTGGGGGAGGCAGGAAGGCATGTTCTGGTGCCCCATACAATACCCTCCGTATCAGCGTGGGGGGCCCTCGGCAAGGTATCCGCCCAAAGGGTGAGAAGTCGTCCACACAGCACCTAAGCTTCTTACGGCTTGTGATCATGGTTTAGGGTTTAGGGTTTAGCGATTAGGGTTCTTTCGGGTTTAGGGTTCAAGGATTTAGGTTTGGGGATTTGACGGTTTAGGACATACCCCTGCTCAGAGTGGTGAGCTCCCGTTTTCTCCTGTCTTCTTCAAGGCCGCCTTCAAATCGGGTGGCTCGATCAACTTGTCGACATCATCCAAGAAATTCCAGGAGCCGTCCTCAAAAAGGGTTCAAGCATAGGCGTAGGGTTTAACAGGTCAGGGATTTGGGTTCAGGGTCACTACATTTGGTCGCAAATGTCTGAAATTGGTTCAGAGTTCCAGAACCCAATACATCCCAACCCTAGCCCTAAACCTTGCAGTTGCACCCGCCGGCAAAGGACTGGGCTGCTTGTGTGCAGAGATCCACAAACCCATGAGTCCATTCACCAACGGTACCGATCTACTTCCAATACCCAACACAAACCCACGAGTCACGAAAGTATCAGTAGACCTCTGTCCGCCTGAGCCCCGCGTAGAGCAGATAGTTTCTCCGAGTCTGGGCATGAGGATTTCCAGCTGAGACCAACACTCGGAAGGCCCGAAAACCCTAAACCACAGAAGCCAGAAGCACCTAAACCCCCAAAGCCCAACCCCCCCCCCCACCAAACCTTTAAAACCTTAACCCTCTGAGTTTGAGGTCCGACACCTTAAACCCGAAACGCCCTCCCTAACACCCTAAACCCCCGCCGTGGGCCTTCTTGGCCTGCTCGATCTTCGCGCGGCCACTTGGCTGTAATCGGCCAGCCTTCTCCAGCTGGGCAACCTCCGCAAAGGGCAGAGATCTAAGGGCGTTAGGGTGTCTGGGTCCCAATCAGGAACAATAGGGTACCCATTTTGTAAACCCCAAGAAGCAGAGCCAACTTCGCAAACGGGTCCCACGTGCTGGGTGTTCTAGTGTTTTGAGGTCCCTTATACTAAAGAGCACTTGTAACTCAAGCCATGCAAGTTACGGTCGGAGGGGACATGGTCTGAATGTTTTGGGGTGTTAGAATGCCAGGGCGGAGGTTGTTGACCTTTCAGGGCGGCTGACCCAAACTCACAGCCCTGAGGGCGTACTTTACAGCCGAAGTCTTCAAAAGGGTACAACCCCCACAACATGAGGCTTCCGAGAATGCCCATGAGCAAACCGTCAGCTCGCTAAGCCGGAGAGCATAGGTCTTGTTCAGAGCAGACCAGGCACTGCCTTTCCTGGTCTTCGCGAGCAAGTTCGGGTTTGGGGTTCGAGGTTGCAGGTTGCGGGCTTAGGGTTTAGGGAATTAGGGTACAGTGAAAAAGTAAACCCGAAACCCAAAGCACCAACTCCTTACTTCTAGCTGTGGAGGCTCCAGGGCTTCCATAAGTTTCGAGAACTCATGGTCTAGGATTCTTTTATGGTCAGGGTTCAGGGCCTCGGTGTACGGCCTCTAATACAAGAAGTCTGGACGAAACCTTTCCTTCTTGGGCTGTTTTCTGGGGGCCGACGGAGCAGGGGGGGGGGGGGGAAGGAAAGGCAGGGAGCTGCTAAATGAGGTAACTTGCGGTGCTTGTCAGGCGCGCGCGGGAGACTCGGACCCGGACAGGCTTTGTCGCAAGTTTTTAATAGCTCCAGGACAAAAGTCAAAACGAGCTGCGATTTGGCCGTGACCCTGGCGACGTACTGGGGCAACACGATGAAGCGGCAGGCAGGTCGACATAGCATGTTTGCGCGTCGAGGAGGTCGTCCCGCCGCCTGTCTGGCCTAAATAACCCTGCAAAAACCAGAACGCCCGGGCTTGCCCGTCGAGCGGCACCTCAGCTTCTGGTCTCAGAACCAATCAGCTCTCGAAGCTTTAGTCACTGGCCTTCGACTCCATCTCCCCCACGTCCGATAATTCAAGCGCATCACGCAGAGAAAGGCCCAGCGCATTAGATTATAAGTTCTGCCTTCGGGACACAAATACTAATATTAAGGAGTTACCGCGTGAAATACAAAAGGGCGCTCCTGAGGTTGTCTAGAATGGATAGGCGCACCCCGTCTAGTGTTTCGGACCCCCGTCTCCTTTGCGGCACAGCCGCCCGGCACCGCGCGGTCCGTGATGCGTGTCTCCGTGGCCTGCTGCAGGGGCAGCGAGCAGACAGCCCAAGACCGATCGGGCCAGCTTCTGGAAGCGGGCCTTGGGAATCATGAAGGAGTTGCAGCGCTTGCTGAACCTCTTGATCTGTGACTCCACATCCCGGCACTGGCCACCGACCTCTTCACCTTCACTTTGGTCTCCCCTTTGATCATCTTCAGAGGCGTGGCTGCAACGGACTACCGGCACCGGCCTGCGGCGCCAGAACTCGCATTTTGGGTAGTTTCCTCCCGTCAGAAGTTTTGGTCTACAACGATACTGTCAACATCTTAGGCCCCACACCTTGATGAAATCAGACTGCGCATGATACTGGACTGAATACAGGAAAAAGTAGCCTCTACAGAAGAATCGCGGAGTGGAATGGAGAATCAGAAGGATTCTGAGGCTCCTACGCGACCAAAGCACGTGCAGTGGCATTTTTGAGGACATGGGCGTCATACAGGACAGCATTCTCTAGGCTGACTGGGTTCAAGGGCAGAAGGACCAAGAAATGCACCCTTCAAGCCCGTCAACGAAGTTGATACACCTTGCTTTGGGGGGCGTAGCGAGCCAAACGAGCGGTTTTCCGAATCCAGCAAGTGTTGCTTTGGTCTTTTCCAAAACGGATCTGCGTAAGCAACCTGTGCCCCAGGAAGAATATTCATTTTCCCTCAATGTACTGCATAACGTTTGAGTTTCAGATGCATTTGTTTAAGTCTGGAACTTGCAGTTTTGTAAATCGGTAAGACGTACATGTCCTGAAGAGGGCCCGTGCACCCTAAAGAAATGGGGGGGGGGGACTTTCGCTCGGACAATCGTGGCATCTCAACCTTTCTGGATGCTAGATTCGTCAACTGCATTCGAGCCCATTTTTGGGCTGCACATAGTGCCCACTCTAAGCTCAGCAACAGACCTGAAACTTGAATCGATGCATGCCCAGACCATTGAAAACAAGTGAGCCGCAGTTGTGTCTGAGATTCGGTACACGTCAACTTTTATGGGTTTCGCCCTTGCCGCGCTCCTTCGTGAGCCCCTGGCCTTTTGGTGTTTCCGGAAAACCCCCAAACAAAGAAAAAAGCAGGATAATGGGCACAGGATAAGTGCAGGAAAAGCGTAGTGTAAGACCACAACTACTGGTGATTCCAGCAGCCGCAGTGACAGTAACAGACCCAGCGAAACACGCTCTCATGGCCCCCAATTCAGGACATTGTAAGGGGCGAAGACTCGTGAAGGACATACCGAGGACAAGCCAAAGGTCCTCATCCTAACTTAAGTGCAGGTTTTCCCGCTTTTGCGCACAAGCTACGTCTAAGTGCTGAAGAAGCACTTATGAACCTCTCAAAATTCATTTATCCCAACAAATCTTATCCACGGTGCGCGCGCTAGCCAAACCCACCCCCAACCCACTGCACGAATACATAACGCCATGCAGCGAAGCCGGTGAGGGATAAAGAGATAGGAAGAATCGAAGCAGTCCGTGAGCTCGTCCGGAATCGCCTGGCTCTGTCATAACTGAAGCTATGGGTACCAAGCAACCCTCCGAGGCGATAAGTCTTTCTTCGCAATGTCGTGGGCTTCTTGCCCAGCTGTCCAAATTTAGCGACATAAAAGGAAGCTGAGAGTTCCCTGCTGAGTCTGCTCGGCGGGTGCAGGTTGAGTGTGATGGCGCGCTCGTTTGGGGCCAAAATGTCCTTCCCCTGGACCATACGATTTGAACGAGTCTTGAACGAGCTGCGGTTTGAGAACTAATGTTTGTTTTTGTTGAAGGGGTGGGTTTTTCTCGGGCATATAGAAATTGTATAGGGCTTGGGCCCCAAAAAAGCTTTGGCCGAAAGATTACATTTTGTTATTTTAAAGGATGGGGCGGGTTGGGCTCGCCAAATTCTGAATTTGTGTTTTGGAGCTTTGAATAGAAATTGCATAGGGTCTCGGTCCCAAACAAGTTTTGAACGAAAGTTTTCTTTGAGCCCAATCTATCTGGGTAGCCCTGTAACCCTATTGTAATAAGGGCACCCTTTTTCGGGTTGGTAACCTTATGAGGGAACCCGAAACCCAAAAAAGGGTACAGGGTACCACTGGGCTACCAAGCTTTTTAAATCTGTTTCTGGGTGGGTTTTAAAAATACAAATACACGCGTCGGTTTCAGGGGGAGGGTGCCCCGAAAGGTTCGGGTTTAGGGTTTAGGGTTTAGGGTTTAGGGTTTAGGGTTTAGGGTTTAGGGTTTAGGGTTTAGTTTCGGGTTTCGGGTTTAGGGTTTACACTGAAAAGTTTTGAACGAACTGTTCGACCCTGTTCGCCCGCAAGTTTCGACCGACAAGCTGACCGAAAGTTTCTGTTTTGGAGCCTACTGCCCTAAACCCTGAACCCTGAACCCTAAACCCTAAACCCTAAACCCTAAACCCTAAACCCTAACGGGGGGGGGGGGGGGGGGGGCGGGAGAGTCTCCCGCAAGCTTGTTTGGGCCGGGGGGTCGTGAACGGGGGCCTCTTTGGGTTGCGGGGGGGTTGGACCCTTCTTGGCCTCCCTAAGCCCTAAGCCCTAAGCCCTAAGCCCTAAACCCTAAACCCGAAACCCTAAACCCTAACCCTAAACCCTAAACCCTTTAGGGTTTAAACCCTAAACCCTAAACCCTATACCGCCACGGATGTTTGGGGCTCCATGGAAGTCCTGAGCTGCGCGCAGGACCGGCTTTGTTTAGACACTAAACTTTGAAATTCAGAATGACAGATAGGTTGTCGAAAAGCAAACGCTTAAGGAAATTGACCTTTTAATCTCCAGGGCGTTTTCGATCAATTTGCTTAAGCTCGGTTTTCGGAGTCCTTTATTGGGGCGGGCTTTGCGCGGCGCCGGCTTGTTAGACAAAAACTCGCCATCTCGAAATAGAATCACATACAATTTTTCTGGTTACTTAGCCTTCAGAGTTTAGGGTTTAGGCTCTGTAGGCGGGTTGAGGGTACGGAGTCTTTAGGGTTTTGTTAAATCCTAATAGGGAAACCCTATGCCCTAAACCTAAACCCTTGGGGAAGGAGCGCATGGTGCCGTTTGACAGATGGGACCATGAAACCGACCCCTCAGAAGCAAAAAACCGAAGATACCCCCCCCCCAACCACCCACCCGGATCAAGAATAGTATCCCAAACCTACGAAATCCCCAGGCCACCACATGAAGAAACCAAAAAGCCTAAACCCGAAAACTAAGAATTTAGGTTCAGGGTCTGTGCACCCCTAACCCTAAACCCCTATGCAAAGAGCAAGCAAGTTTCCGGCGCGGGGAAATCAGCAGCCTCAGGCGCACAACCGACAAAGTCTATGGGTGGTTTGAGGGGTTATGGAATTTAGGCTAGGATTGTGGTTGAATGCCAAGGGCCTAGGGTTCAGGATCCAGGGTTTAGGGTTTAGAGTTTAGGGAAGTTTAGGGTCTACGGTTTAGACCCAGGTGCAGCGGAGTCGGGAGAGTAGCACGCGCACATCGCGGGTTTGGGGTTTTGGGGTTTGGGTAAGCACGTCCATCTTGGGCCATGGCAAAGGTGAACTTTAAGGGCTACCCTAAACCCTAAAAACTACACCCTAAACCCTAAACCCTATAGTGGTTAGGGATATTCTTGACCCAAACGCGTAGCTGCGCCTGCTACTCGCGGAAACTCGTGGGGTTGATTTCACCGAGCCTGTGGCACCCACCAAAACATCCCTTGCAAAGAAGCCCTAAACCCGAAGCCCTAGACCCTAGACCCTAGACCCTAGACCCTAGACCCTATAAAATGTATAAACCCTAAACAACCACATAGATTCGGCAGGGCTGGGAAAGGAAATACGTAGTTCACCTGCTTGGGCATGTTGACACAACAGGTTGTGACAAAGCGGACTTCACGCACGCACCTGCATCGGATTGAGCCGCGGGCGATGGAAAATGCAACTGATACTCTCAAACAGCTGCAAGGAGTACCCTAAACCCTGAACCTAAAGATGGACGAAAACTTGCCCGACCTCTCGTCGTAGGCTAGCCCAGGCAGATGAGTCTGAAGTGTGTCACGGGTTGAGGCCCCACCAATCCACAACAGTACGCGCTGAATCAAGCCCCGGAAGCCTCCACCGAGGCCCTACCGAAACCTCTCAGTGGGCGTGTGAGTGTGCGAGTGTCTGAGCATGTCGGTCGTGTCAGCGTGTGTGCGCATGTGAGTGCGTCAGTGCGTGGGGGGGTTGGGCGTCGGGGGTGGGTCGGGGTGGGTGTGGGTGGAGGTGTGGGCGGTAAGGGGGTGTAGTATCCCAGTTTTGACCGATCTTGAGGGCAAGGCGACCGTTCTTATGATCTCTTCCGAACTCTGGCCCTCAAAAGACCTGAACCCAAAACGCGTCAGCTGCCACGGTTCACCCCAAGTTGTCGGCGTGTGGTGGTTGAGGGGGTTTAGGGTTTAGCGTTACCCAAACCCAAAACCCAAATCCTAAACCCGAAAATTAAACCCTCAGCTGTAGATCCTTGTGAAAAGGGGTTGGAGAGGATGTATGGTGCTATGGTCTACATATTGTTGGGAGCCAACCCTAAACCCTAAACCCTAAACCCTAAACCCTAAACCCTAAACCCTAAACCCTAAACCCTAAACCCTAAACCCTAAACCCTAAACCCTAAACCCTAAACCGAACAAGACAGTTTTTCACAACAGCCATGTGGGGCAAGCTGTTATACTCTGAAAGCATGGACACGGGTGTGCTTGACCCATGTGTCCAGTGCGGCTTTAACTTGATCTAGCGTTCCCTAGATGGTCAGCTCTGCAAACTATGGCCGGAGGATCGAGGGACATGGGTAAGTAGGTACAAAGCAACAGCGACAAGTAGGCTCATGGCTGGAGTTATCCTACTGACTCCTCATAGTTGCTGAGTTCATAGGCCCCCAAAAAGCGTACACTTTCACTTCTATAGGGGATTGCAGCATGACAAAAAGTGAAGTGCACTCAGTTAGTAAGTCCTTGAATTACTTGCCAAGGCGAGAAGCCGCAGCCGAGCTACAGACTCCGCTGGTCGTCCAGCTTGCGAGTATGGCTGTCAATCCACCCCCACGCCAACGCTTCGGCGACGATGTCCTTGGCTTGTAGCTCACCCAGAGGGTCCGTTTGTATTACGATTATGGAATTAGATACCCAAAAACCATGCTGAATAGGGTTTTGGGGTACCTTCTTCCATAATAGTACTACAAATGGACCCTCTGGGTCATCTATCTTAGCGTAGTGCATGGTCCCTTAATATGTGCCCTGAAAAGGTGACCACTTAAACACCCCTTCTGTACCCTACACAATCCCAAGGGCCTACAACGGAGGTAAGGGACCATATGAAGGGCCCATGAAGCTACCCTTAGAATCTAAAATCTAGACCCAAGAGTAACCTACGAAACGAAAGGGTGCCCTTTTTCGTTAAAGGGGCTTCTCAAAAAACCCTGAACCCTAGCAAAAAAGGGAATATGGGGCCCAGGCTGTGAAGTGGCTGCTTCTAAATCACCCACTTGCGGAAAGCTTCCGGTGCTACCAGCAAGCTGCCCGAAACTGACTCTAACTTCGACTCCAAATTGGACTCCAAATGTCAAAAACAGGGAGGGCCGCAGAGCCGCTTGTTCCGGGGTGATTTGTTCTCAGCTGCTTCCCCGGTTCCAGCCGTTCCCCAGATCTCACCCGTGTCTATTCCTAAGCCCTAAACCCTAAACCCTCAACCCTAAAGCTTGACTCAAGCTCACTGGATTCCAGTTGCCCCATATCCTCGAAACCCTGGGGTTTCGGTGCCTAGGCTTTCTCCGTGAGGGCAGATCATGCCCAACAGTCCTTAAGCCTGAGCCCCAAGTCCCCGAACCCTCGGAAACTTACCTACAGAGTAAGAGAATGTAAGTTGGGCTTAGGGTTTAGGGTCTAGGGCAAGCTTTCCCTTCGGTACAGAGAACAAAACGCAGAACATCAAATCCCCGCAGTGCCACCTCGCAGACCAGGCGTCGGGCAACGGCACGTGAAACTTGGTGCCCTGCTTCCAGCGAGTAATCCACACGGACTTATCCTGAGAGGCCGGGTTCAGGGTTTAGGCTCAGGGTTTGACCTAAGAGTCAATCCACCCAAGTATTAGGGCAAACCCTAAGTTTAAACTCTAAACCCTAAGCCCTAGACTCTAAACTCTAAACCCTAAACCCAGGATACTCTCGGTAGGGTTTAGGGCAGGGCTTTGGCCCATGCAACTTGACAACCTGAGCTAGGAAAGAGAACGGTATGTAGCCCTTCGTGTTCATTTAGGCTTCTGTGGGATTCTCCCTCAAGCAAAAAATTGAAGAAGTGGCATTTGGCCCAACAACCACTCAACCACCCTCCCTGCCAAGCCTTAAATGCCCCCCCCCCCCCCCCACCTTTATAGTTAGGGAGCAGGCAGGACGATTCCCCGGACTGCCGCGATTGCCTGCCGTACACCCTGAACCATAAAACTCAAACCCGAAACCCGAAACCCTAAACCGTCTAAACCCTAAACCGTCTAAACCCTAAACCGTCTAAACCCTAAACCGTCTAAACCCTAAACCGTCTAAACCCTAAACCGTCTAAACCCTAAACCGTCTAAACCCTAAACCGTCTAAACCCTATACCGTCTAAACCCTAAACCGTCTAAACCCTAAACCCTAACCCTAAACCCTAAACCCTAAACCCTAAACCCTAAACCCTAAACCCTAAACCCTAAACCCTAAACCCTAAACCCTAAACCCTAAACCCTAAACCCTAAACCCTAAACCCTACCAGAGTCTCCTGCTTGTGATGAGCTTTCAGCCAACGCTCCAGATCTTGGGCGCTGCGCACATCGATCTGCGCCTCAGCGCTGCTTCGCTGTCTCTCGCTGCCCACAGCTTGGGATGTTCCCCTTATACGAACAGTATATTCACAGCCCTTAGTTAAACCCTCAACTTGAGGGTCCCACGCAGAAGTCTCCAACATCCTACGATGCCAGGTTGCATAGTCTCCGAGCCCGCCTGGCACGGCCACACGTGCACGTTCACCATAAACCCGAAACCCGAAACCCGAAACCCTAATCCCTAAACCCTAAACCCCAAACCCTAACCCCCCACACCCTAAACCACCCCCGCCCCCAGTGGAAGTGAAAGTGGGCAGGGTTTGGCAGGCTTTCGGGTTTAAGGCCTAGGGTTCTAAGGCTGCTTTCAGCAGATCTGCCGCCCCAGACAGAGTGAGAAGGTGTTTGGCGACCCTCCCCAAGCCGGCCGCAAAGAAGTAATAGTAGACAATTACGAGAATGGATTCTATTGTCTAGTTAAAGCCTAGGCACGACACCCGTAAACTAAAGTGAAGGCCTTGGGGCGTTGGCGTTGGTGTCATTCGGTGCTCAGGTGGGCTTTCTCAACTGCCTTTCTTGGCGAATCTTGAGCCTAAGCCCTTCGTGAGAAGCCTCGGCGGCGGGCAAAATAAAGGGCTCCTTGCAGGATTTTACCCTGAGCTGCATATACCTACACATACACATACACATTCACATACACATACATATACGTATACATATACATATGCATATACGTATATATATATATATATATACAATACCTACAGTCAGCCTAAAGCCGAACGCTCAGAATCTTATCATCTTACATCAGGGTGCCTTGGCTGATGGGCTTCGCCGTCGCCGGCTTTTTCTGCACAGGCTTCTGCTTGGCCCCCATGCTGCGAGGCTACGGCTCCATGAGATAGGGTTTAGGGTTTGGGGTTTGGGGTTTAGGGTTTAGGGCTTCGGGTACTTGAAGGTTGATGGGTGGTTCTAAGTCGGGGTACACAGAAGAACCTTTTAAGTTGCCTCACTTATAACCCTCTCAGTAGCCATGAACCTTCAAGCACGGGCTTACATGGGATGTGGTTTTCGGGGCAAGTTCTCCACATCATTGCTGCCTTTTTTGGGTACCCTGCAAAGATATACCGGCCCAGTGTACTCGGAGCCCTCTGCACATTCAAGGTAATCCTACAGGGTTTCGGGGCTGCTTGAGGCTTCAAGGAATTTCCCAAGGGTTGAAGGCTGTAGGTTTGCGGCTCTAGGGTTCAGGGCTTGGAGAAACGGGGAAAGATGCACCCGAACCCTCAAGAACCCCCTAAAACAAACAATTGAAGACCCCAAGCCTTCTTCAAGCCCCCTGGCCCAACATGGCCACGTTCTTTTGTGACTCTTCCCAACTATACAGGGGCCTAAGAGCTTTCGGGCTTGATAGGGTTTAGGGTTTAGGGTTTAGGGTTCAGGGTTCAGGGTTCAGGGTTTAGGGTTTAGGGTGATAAACGACAGCGGCAGAGAGAGTGTGAAAAGAAAGAGAGACAGAGAGATCGATACAGAGAATCAAGGTCTCAGCGGCCCTGATCTCTAACGTTTAGGACTTCCGGCATGGGATGCTGCAGCCAAAGGGGGCCTAAACCCACAAGGCCAATAACAAGGCTGCTAAGGCGGAAGAGGACTCCTGAATAATATCCGGTTTCTCCCAATGTGGAAGATGCAACATGCAACAAGGGCCTTGCAACAAGGGCCTGTCTACATTGTCCTGGGTCCCCGCGCGTGCGAAAACAGCGAGAAGAACACCGGACAAGAGCTCAGCGCGGCCGACGTGAAGCCGAGCCTTGGGCAACTGCGGTAAAATGAGCCCAAAATCAACCCGAAACCCTGTCAGTTTCCCTGAACCTGTTTAGCCCTACAGCACTCTAAGCCAAGCCCTGAGCTCCAAAACTTCCTCAAAAACACCTCAACCCTTTGAAGAACTTCGGACATCGGGTTTAGGGTTTAGGGTTTAGGGTTTAGGGTTTAGGGGTCACAGACATAGCTTCGCCAAGAAATGATCAACTGGCGGTTGGTGGGGCTTCGGGGTTTAAGGGTCGCAGCTATCGGTAGCTTTTCTGCATCCGAAACCTTGTACAAGGAAAACCCCACCCACCCGCCCCCCAAAAAGGGACCCTAAACCCTAAACCCTAACCCTAAACCCTAAACCCTAAACCCAGAACCCTAAACCCTAAACCCCTCAAAACTCTTGCCTCGACCCTCAACGCCCCGAAGCACCTGCCGCAAAAAATCGCGGGGTTGGACAAGCAACCCTACAGATCTGCCACAGCATCGGAGATTCGGCAGCTGAACCCTAAACGCTAAATTTTGAAGCCCTGAAACCCAAAACCCCAAAGCCCTAAGACCCTAATAAAACAAAACCTGAACCCTAAACCCTAAACCCGAAAAAGCCGGAAAAAAAGAGGATCGACATCTCCAGGGCCAAGCTCCAGACGTGAACGACAGGCACCACTCGTCGTTGTGCGGCGGCCAGTGGTAGGCCCTGCTCATTATTACTATTATAAATCTTCTTATCACTATTATTATTGCTATTGTTGTTCTCCTTCTTCTTCTTCTTCGTCTTCTTCTTCTTTGTGTTTTTACTGTTATGATGATTTTGTTGGGGGGGGGGGGGGGGGGTTTTGGGGTGTTTTGGAGTCAGGGCTTTAAGGGTTCAGGGCTGAGGGTTGAGGACCCCTGTGTGGGAATTGGGCCCTGGCGCGCCCCTAAACCCTAAACCCTAAACCCTAAACCCTAAACCCTAAACCCAGAGACAGAGGTGTTTAGGGTCCAGGGCTTCGGGCCCTTTGTAGTGGCAGGGAAACGCGAGGGGATGCAACTACCTGAAAGCTTCAAGACCTGAAGCCCCAACAGGGGTTTAGGGTTTAGGGTTTTGGGTTTAGGGTTTAGTGGGAAAACAATCTCGAAATAAAAGTCCTTTTTTGGGGATCCTTAACCCTAATTTAGAGAACTCCCCATATGGATTCTTCGATTTTTTTGGGGGGCGCCCCCCTCTTTTGGGAGCCTTGACGTGGTTGCTGGGTACTCCCTAGCTTTGAGACAGGTATTTTCCAAACTGGATATTCATAAGGACTTCGAAAGAAGGTACTCAAATTTAGTGAAAGTCCCAAATATGAATACAGGGCATGAGAAAACAAACGGCTCGAGGGGACTAAGGGTCGGGAAGTTGGGGAGATGGGTTTAGGGTTTGGCGTTCAGAGTTTAGGGTTTAGGGTTTAGGGTTTAGGGTTTAGGGTTTAGGGTTTAGGGGGCTTATAAGGAAAGATCTCTTAAGGGTCGAAGGATCTGGGTCTAGCCGGGGCTCAATCTGGGAAAATGGGCTCTGTAGGGAATCAGCTGCGGGCAAGGTGCAGGTCGTGCACCACGCACACCAGGTTCAGAAGAACGGCGAGGAACCAGTTGCCTCCACAAGCGAGGTGCCCACCCCAGGGCCGGGGAGGGTTGCCTTTTTTGGGGGTTTAGGGTTTAGGGTTTAGGGTTTAGGGTTTAGGGTTTAGGGTTTAGGGTTTAGGGTTTAGGGTTTAGGACTTTGGGTTTTGGGTTTTTGTTTTTGTCTCTTTTAAGGGCCCTAAGCTTGGGATGTCCCCCCTTATACTAACAGTCCGTAATAGGGATTATAGCAGGGGGTACCTATAATCCCTATTAAGGACTGCTAGTATAAGGGAGAACATCCCAACCCTACACTCTAAACCCTAAGCCCCTGCAAAGCACAGGACAGATGTGCGGCCGACTTTTGCTGAAAGCCGACGGGCCTGGGATCTGAACCACGCGGCATAAATGACCAAACCCCAACGGTTTAGGGTTTAGGGTTTAGGGTTTAGGGTTGAGGGTTGAGGGTTGAGGGTTGAGGGTTGAGGGTTTAAGGTTCAGGGCTTGCTTGTCTGGGGGCTGGGGTTAGGGTTGACAGCAGGCGTAGAGTTAGGTTTAGGGTTCCGGGAACGCAGACATCAGCACTAAATCCTGAAAGAGCGCCGTGTTTATGCCCGATATCGATAGATGACCTACTGCTTGAAGCTTAGTGTCCCAAACCCGACTCCGTCGAACTGCTCGAACACCCATAGGGCCCTGGCTGAGGACGATGTGTGCCCAGCAAACGCTGAGGAACGGGGGCAAAGACCTTCGGGTTTAGAGTTTAGGGTTTAGGTTGCAAGCTGTGCTGTCGCGAGTGCGATTGGAATCGGGCTTCGGATTCAGGAGCGTATTGTTTCATATGCGTGCCTTTGACTCGGCCTTTGCCAACAGCCTAGCATAGTGCGATGAGAGCTGAGGGGGGGTGGGCAGTTTGGTCGCCTTGATGCAAGAGTCGCCTCCTAGGAGAAGGGTTTTACAAAGTTTACGAGGTGCTCCAAACGAGCTCATCGGGTTGCTCGTTCCTCGGCGTTGATGTCTTGACCCCGCAGACATCAATGCAAGGGGAGTGCTGAGGCTGTACAGTAGTTTGGTTTAGGGCATCAAGACTCAAAGTGGCTGCAATTGAGATCAAGCCCCGTGTAACCATTCTCCATCCGAGACTCCGACAGCCACAAGAATGTCGCAGCTGATAGAAAGCAGAGATGTGGACCAATTAACATGTAGATTCCAATGTCCACTCTTGATCGTGCCTGTGATGAGAACTCAAGAAACTGCTCGCACCAGCCAAGGCTAGCGTGGTGCATTTGAAGGAGACAGGTTTGTCACGTGGGGGGCAATCCAGAGTGCGCGCGGTCACAGCAGAATGGCCCGAGCTTAGATGCTCAGCAGATCCATGCCACAAAGAATTTTCGCTGCGATGCTGGTAGCCAACAGCGTTGCTCCGGACTACTGTGGTGACAGCACGCTAGCCCGGGATCGGTTGAGAAAAGTTCAACAGCTCCCTGCCACAGATGAACTTGGTAGAAGGAGCTTTCAAGCAGGAATTGCGAAATGGCCTACAATGCAGGGTATATGAAGTTTAGGGTTAATTAAAGGGAAACCTTGTCGAGTTCATGGTTGTGATAGTATTTTAATTTTAATTTTCGATTGCTTTTTGAGTTTAAGTACCCTTTAAAGTGTAAAATGTCACTCCACTATGACAAAGCTATCTACCCTTTAGTATACCCTAACAACCCCTAGGCAGACCCCAACAACCTTCAACCCTCAACCATGCAGAAACCCTACGTAGACCCTATATAAAACCTGTGTAGACCCTATGTAAGCCCTATGTAAGCCCTATGTAACCCTAAACCCTAAACCCGAAACCCTAAACCTAAACCTAAACCCTAAACCCTAAACCCTAAACCCTAAACCCTGTGTAACCCAGCTAAAAGCCTATACCCTGGGCCCGAGATCCTCAGCCGCCGGCCGACACATCAGCGAGAAGATGCGGCGCTGGCGAGGGCAGGGGGTGCTGTGCAGGGTTTAGGGTTTAGGGTTTAGGGTTTAGGGTTTAGGGTTTAGGGTTTAGGGTTTAGGGTTTAGGGTTTAGGGTTTAGGGTTTAGGGTTTAGGGTTTAGGGTTTAGGGTTTAGGGTTTAGGGTTTAGGGTTTAGGGTTTAGAGTTTAGGGTTTAATTAGGGTTCAGGGTTCAGGGTTCAGGGTTCAGCGGGCCGGGTGGGGGCTCCTGTTACGAACACGACTTTCTGGGGGACCGTGACTTTGAACAGCTCGCAGGTGTGTAGCTACCTAGTAACCTAGTATATCTAGCTATGTTCAGTTCTCGTGTCCATGTGTCTACACAAACGTTTGCAGATATTGTATCTTGGCAGCCCACTGACCATATTCCTATAAGGGCTTTTAAGGGTGCCCTTTTTGAGGTAGGTTCCTGTTACAAGCAAATCCAGAACCAAAAAAGGGGCAAAAGGGTTGGGCTACCAAGAGATACTACGACTCCTCG